GAAGGTTTGAAGGTATGAAGGTTGGAATGTTTGAGTTTTATGAGTTATTCGAAGGTTGGAATGTTTGAAGTTTATTGATTGTATGAAGGTTTGAATGTTGTAAGGTTTGAAGGTTGGAATGTTTGAACTTTATGAGTTATTCGAAGGTTTGTATGTTTGATTGTTTGAAGGTTTGAAGGTTTGATTGTAAGAACGTTTGAAGGTTGGAAGATTTGACAGATTAATTGAATCAATGTTATGAAAAACGTAAGACTAAAAATTTCAATTAAGTAAGGATGTAACCCCCAAGGCTGCCAATAGTGTTACATGCATGGCATCCCAAAGGCTGTCACGTAGCCTGAGCCTAGCCTGCAACCAAGGACACCTCTTATTCGCCAATTGGGATGGCGACACCTTTCATTTTTGTACTCTTTCGCCAAGTCCAATGGCGCCTCCCTTACTGTCCAATCGTGATACATCCTTAGGCTGCCACCTAGCCTGCAAGAGTGACACCTTTCATTTTTGTACATGCATGCATATACGTAACCCCCTAGGCTGCCACCTAGCCTGCAAGAGTGACACTTCGCATGCATGCAAGCACCAACAACCACTATATGAATTTTTTTTGCCTATAAATACATATCATATCATACATCTCTCACACCCACACAAGTCTCACTCTCTGCTACGAAATCTTTTATAATCTCTTAAACTTTCTAAGTCTTTCATACTCTCTTACTCTTTCTAAGTCTTTCATAATCTCAAGCATTTTAAACAATGACTCTTCTAACAATGGACGATTCTCACAGAGGCACAAGGTAAAACATTGCCGCATTTGTAAGTTTCTATTTTGGTTATACATTTTTCATATTTCAGATAATGCTTTGTTCATCTTACTTAATCTCACAACTTTTACATTATGAACTCAGGACACCAAAAGATTCAGAATCCGTTCTCACAACTACCTGGCTCCCGACCCATTTATCGTACCATATCTGGAATACGCAGGTTTTGGACATGTGATAAAGATCTCCAACTGTACAATTGATTCGAAGTTCATTCTTGCAATGTTGGAAAGGTGGAGACCAGAGACCCATACATTTCACCTACCAATAGGTGAATGTACCATCACGCTAGAGGATGTGTACATGCTACTAGGTCTCCCTGTCGACGGTAAGGCCGTGAACGGGTCGGTTCAACAATCCAACTCTCAATGTGAAGAACTGTTGGCCAGGGATATGGTTGACGGTGGTGGTGCGAGAGGTCAGAGAATACTACTCACTGAGCTTAAAAGTCATTATGCAAGTTTGGAATTAAACGAAAATTCCTCCGAGCAAGACAGGGTAGTAAAAGCCAGAACTTATCTTATGATACTATTTGGTACCTTTTTATTTCCCGAAAGTATGGGAAATAGTGTAAATTTCATGTATTTACATTTACTAAGAAATTTTGAAAAAACAAGAAAATATAATTGGGGTTATGCAGTTTTAGCCCACCTATACAGTTCCTTGTGCAAAAATGCAGTCAAGGAAAAATGTACATTTTATGGGTGCGCTTTTTTACTACAAGCCTGGGGTTGGTGGAGGATGAAGTCCTTAAACCCCGTCAACAACAACACTTTCGTTTTCCCGTACGCAACAAAGTAAGTCATCAAGTTATATCATTTATTAGTATTCATCTCTTCACCAAATATATGCTAAGAATAAAATGTTTTTCATTTCCTTTAGGTACTGCGTGAGGGGTATGGATTACGGCAAGAATCCAAGATTCAATGTTGCACTATACCGCAATCTGTTGGATAACTTAGGCCCGGATGATGTACGTCGTAGCTTTAAACTTTTCTTCATTTAAATTATTTATACATTACTTTTGCGTTAACCTGATTTAAATTTTATCGCAGTTCGTCTGGAGACCATATTTGGATTTGGGCCATGATCCAAATCCGGAGGATGCAGCAATTTGGACCGCGAAGACTGCAATCATTCGGTTTAACATTGTGGAGATGCACCACAGGGACCGTGTGAAGATGCAGTTCGGAATGCATCAAGAGATACCAAGTGATCCAACTTGTTTGTCCCCATGGCATCTTAAAAGGGTCGACGCCCAGTGGGGTCTTACCAACTGGAAAGACTTCGCTTCGGAATGGTATAAGATGTGGCAGAGGCGTCACCGCTATGTCTTGCAATTCCCGATTTTCCTTAATCATGGTAATATGCGACACACGGATCAATATTTATCTTGGTACAGGTCGGTTAGTAACCCTGAAATGCACGTGTCTCATCCAAGGTACTTGACTGACCCACGCACACAATTGGCACAACCCTCGTTTCCCCAACAAGAAACCCAAAACCCATCAACCTCCCACCAACCCCCAAGAAGAAACAGACCCACAAACACCCAACCACAGTCCCCACCACAACATCTCAAATGCCCCACAACCAACCACAATCACCACCTCACTACCAATACCCCGATATGCCTCACACCCAACCACAATACCAATCACAATACCAACACACCCGCATACCCCACACACATTTCCAATCTTCCGTATATCCCAATATGGGCCCCTCAACATCCAGCCTTAGCCCTGATATGGGAATGTCGGAAGATTACGAACAAACCGACCCAGCCTACCATCAACCACAATATCACCAAACCACCCAACATCCTCAATATCAAACACCCCAAGATCCATTTCCTTTCTACCCACCGTACTCAGACGATCAATACTACAGACCCACCATGGAACCCCACCCACCGCCAACACGATCAAACTTTGAGGGTATGGGTAACCGACTGTACCAAAGCGGATCTTCTAGATATGGAGATCTGACTGATTTTATGGATCCGTACCGCATTGACTTCGCTGGGCCATCGACCCCTGCCGCAGCAGGAAACGCGACGACACCCAGCACGGGAAAGACGAGGGCGGGGATGCTGAACCGGGGGTCATTACCGGGTTCTGGGGGATCACTGATTTATCTATTTTTTTTCCTGTATTTTTTTATCTGTTTTTTTTATCTGTTTTTTTAATGTAATACTGTTGGATGTAATTATTTTTTTTTAATAAAAAGTCTATTTTGTTGATCCTGTATCCAATACGCAACGCACCGGACAAAAAAAAATTCAAACTTTGCCCTAAAATAACACTTATGCGCCATCTCACTTGGCTTAGGGCATGCCCTAAGCACATAGGCGCCAAGTGAGATGGCGCATCCCCTTAAAAAATGAGAGTAGGCGCCAATTCAGATGGCTCCTCCTTTGGGGAGTCATCTGAAACATGGTTATTTGCGTAATTTTTTCCGAAACGCAGTTATTTGCGAATTTTTTTTAATACATGGTTATTCAAAAAAAAAATTCTTAAACGTCACCTAAAAATAAACAAAATGCGCTGACTAACGTTAAAAATATATTAACGCAGCATTACCGATGCTTATTTAAAAAGTGATGTCTAATGCCAAAATAATATATTTATTTAAAAATAAATAAAATAATATTAATGTATTTTTATCCGCACTTATTTAAAAAGTGTTGTCTAATATTTAAAAATATAAACACACCTTTACAAACTGTTATTGAAAAAGCATTAAATGACAAAAATTAATAATATACTTTTACTAGCTCTAATTTAAAAAAGCATTGTCTAATATCAAAAAAACAAAATTTACGCTTCTTTACCAACACTTATTTATAAAAAATTTCTCTAATGTCTGAAAAATATTCACGCTTATTTACCTAGTTTATTTTCAAAAATGTTGTCTAATATCGTATTTTTAAAAAGTTATATAAAAGACAAAGCAATATGCTTAAGACAAGGCTAAAAAGTTAAAAAGTTGTCTAATGGTACACATTGGATACAAACACATTCTAGAAGACATTGGATATTTTTTTTTGAAATAAACTATTTAAAATATTATAAGTAATTTCTCAAAATGTCTTCCTCAAAATGTTTCTACCATACTTCTATTTCTTTTGACAATAGAAATAATAATAATAATAATAATAATAATAATAATAATAATAATAATAATAATAATAATAATAATAATAATAAAAATAATAATAATAATAATAATAATAATAATCTATTTTTAAATATTAATAATAATAATAATAATAATAATAATAATATTTTATATAACTTCACTAATTTTTAAAATTTGTTTTAGTTACTTTTTTATTTGATTTTTGATTTTATATTTACAATATAACTCTATTAGTTTTATTGATTATCCAAAAATATATTATTAATTATCATTACTATCAATAGTAGTAAATAAGAAAATTTAATCTCCTCTTAATATATGAGACAGATGAATGTATAATCTTTAATTATCTATTTTTTTGAAAATTTTAAAAATTTAACTAATTATAATTTTAAATAAGTTGACATTAAAAACTCTAAAACTTTAAGCTAATATAATGTATCTGATTTTTAAATATAATGTATCTGATTTTTATATTATTTAAATCTGATTTATATATAGATAAAACTTAAATATAATTTTTTAGGTGTCATTCTTACTATTTCTTAATAAAAATATAATAAATATAAATTTTCCTCTTTCATATATGTAAAATATTCTTATTTCCACTCCTTAAATAAAATTTAGTATATTTATTATATTTTTATTGGAAAATAATAAGAAATACAACTAAAAAATTTTACATAAATTTTGTCCTTTATATATTATCTAGATGCATTATTCATTGTATTTAAAAAATAACTTTTTATAAATAAATTTTATTTATTTATAATTAATATAACTTATAAGAAAATAATTATAAAATATTTCTAAAGTCTATTTTCAAAACAGAAAAAGATAATTCTTTTGTTGGTCAAACAGAAAAAGAGGCTTTAACTATTGTTTTTTTCCTATGCATCAATTCCCAATGTATATAGCTTTTGATTTTTCTTCCTTTGGAGTTAATGTTTTGGATATACTAGAGATGCTTCATTTTATATAAAGGTGTTTTTCATAACTCATCACACTATCATTGCTCCTCTTCTAAACAAGATGAAGAAGAAGACACACTCTTCTCCACTCAATGAACAATTCACTGACTCATCTGACGGAAGTGAATCCTTCTCATCTTCTTCATCATCCGACAATGAAACTCAATCTCTCACTGAACCATCTTCCTCATCATCATCATCATCATCATCATCATCAGATGAAGAATCTGAATCTCTCAGCGAACCATCCACCATATCTTCACCGTCTTCGAATTCTTCATCTCAAACTCAATCTCTTGAGGAAACATCCGTATCCTCATCTTCTTCAGTTTCTTCTTCGTCGTCAGTTGGCGACGAAGAAACTCGAAGACGGTCACCAACCTCATACTCAAATCACAATACTCGGGTCCAATCCTTCGTTACACCATCTCTATCTGGAACAAAGCATTTTAGGGAGAACATCAACGACTCCAAACCTGCAGAAAAGAAGAAGAAGGAAATAGATGCTAGCGAAAGGGAGAATGCACTTCCAAAAACTTTCTCCATCCCACACAATCAGAAACTATTTGAATCCAAATCTGAACAAGAAGAAGAAACAAAACAAAACCCTAACGGAAAAACTCCAAATAACAATAAAGCCACTTGTAAGAAACCACTTGAACCAAAAACTGAACAAGAAGAAAAGGGAAACCCTAACGGGAGAACACCAAATAACAATCAACCTTCTGGTGAGAAATCATTTGAACCTGCCGATGAGAAACCACCAACAATTAAGCAGGAACAGATACCCTAAGATTTTAAAAAACGGTCGCGTTGTGACCTTCGTGATTTGGTCGGTGTCACGATACTGATAATCACAATTTGTTCTTTAATATAAAAATGGTGATAATAGTATTAGTATAGACAGCTTTTAAAACCGTTTTATCGCAATCATTTTCGCGATGTGCGATCTGGAATTTTTTTAAATTCCTAGAAGTATGCTTTTCACAAGAGCTAGCTTTTGCAAAACTAAATCATGACTTCTGAGTAGTTTTTATCATGTACTAGTATGTTTTAGTTAGGAGACAAATAATTTCAATTATTCTGTTTGTTTAATTATTATGATTTGTTTGTCTTATATTTAGCATCTGAGAATCGATTTGTTGGTTCTTAAATCTCTTGTTGTACAATTAATCTATTTTTCAATTGTCCAAGATTTTAAGTAGAAACAAGATATGCAGATCATCCCAAACATAAATGGTGAAGTGTATTTCTCATACATAGATTATGTATCATATTTAATATGCAGCCAAGGTTTGTTGGAATCTATAGCAATTTCAAGACAATATGTGATTAGGTTTATTGGTTAAGTAGATTCATGGAAGACAAATAGTTGTAAACCACAATTATAAGTTTGAAACCTTATTAATATTCGGTAATCCTTTAAGATCGCGCACTACTATAATCATTGATACTAGTTTTATTTAGGGATGATAAAAAAATCCGTATCAGCGAATATCTGCAAATAAAATCCGTCACGCATACGAGGTGGATAGATTAATAGATATTCATAGATAAAATAAATGAATATTTAAATACTTCTTTATCAATATATATGGATATGAGTTTAATAATATAAGTACATGTGGATATCCATATGCATAAATTAATTATAAAAACTATTTAAATATCATAATTAGTTTCTTGTACTCTGTCTTTTCGTATTCTAAAAAATTAGTCTTTTCATTTTTTTTTAATTTTCTTTTAAAAAAAACGTTTTACATTTAATACAAAATTGTATTGGTCATTTCATATTTAAACTTCTTCTATACTTCACACCTCACTTCAATAATTCCACCGTTCAACCAACCAATATCGCTCTACCTCCGTCCAACAAGTGTCTCCCTTCCTTCTCCTTTGTCATCCAATCTTCTACCATAACTTGCAATCACAAATTTTTAATTAAAAATGAAATATATAAAGATTATATTTGAATGTTATTATATTTTGGTGAAAAAGAAGGAAATTAATGTAATGAAATTATGTTATTAAAATAAGAGAAAATTTTATGAATATTATGTGATAATTAATTTGTCTTTAAAAGAAATTGAAAATACATTTTTCCAAAAAAAAAATAGAAAATAAGTGTTAACTATGAATATCTGTAAATATTTACGAATACGTTAAATCTTGTGAATTATCCGTTTAGCAGATATGCGCACGAATATAAGACGGATATGAATATCACATTTTCCTAATGAGACAAACACATATATCATACTATCAGCTTTCATGGATACCCATATACATTTATTAGCCTAGGAAAATTCATTAAAAAAATTAAATTCAAAAGTAGCATATAACAATTTAAAAAAAATAGAGTACATGGCTGGATCGAAGAGTCTGGGTATAGATGATTTCAATTTTTTTTCTATAAAAAGTTTTGGGGTTTAGTTAAGGAGGAATTTTAGGTGATGTTCGACCGTTTTTTCAATACAGTATTGTCTAAGAGCTTGACTTTTTTGTTGTCGCTCTCATTCTGAAGGTACAATCTCTTTTGGAGTTGGACAACTTTTGACCTATATCCCTTCTCAAGTCTTTGTATAAGTTGGTGGTAAAAGTGTTGGCGTCTAGGATTACTAGTGCCATGGAGAAGCATATCTCCCAAGAGCAATCATCGTTTGTTAAGGGAAAATAATTGGCGGATGAATTGGTTGCACTTAATGAGATTGTATATCTCGCATAAGTGTCTAACCGGTAGTATTTTATTATTAAAGTAGACTTTGAGAAGGCTTACGACTCATTCGATTGGTCTTTCTTGAATTATATATTGTAGAGGTTTGGGTTTAGTGTTAGGTGGATGGCTTGGATTCATGTATGTCTTTTTTCAGATATTCTCTCTCTATTTTTATGGGCATGTGCCAAACAGAGGAGATTAGTATCCTGAAGGGTGTGAAACAAAGATACCCTTTAGCTAATTTTTTTCTTCTAGTTGAGCTGACGAACCGAATCGACGACTTAGAAACTAAATGCTCAATCCAAAGCTTTTAAAGGGCTTAGCAACTTGTCAAGTAAACCAATCATATAGAAACTTGTTTGAATCTTCTCTGAGATGAGGCTTGAGATTTCTTCAAGTTGAATTCTATCATCAGAGCATGTTTGTAGTGATCACCATACACTAACTTGTCATACTTGAATACTCATAGGTTGTAACTGTCGCTATGCAAGTTGTCATACAATTAGTCATGTAGGTTATATCATTAAAAGCTCCTTTTAGTCTTCATCGTCAAAAGTGAATTATCAAGAGCTCTTTTGTTACTTCTTTGAGTAACCTACAAAATATGGTTCCACGTTTGATGGATTTATTTATCCAACGTTTTCGATGAGATTCGATGGGTTTAATTAACATCCCAACCAGTGGTTCCTAGGATGGGATAAGTGGGATTAGTACAAACCCTTGAGGTCTACATACTATAACGAAATATAGTTTTTCTCTCACTAACAACTACTACTTTTAGCGGTGGTAGGTGCTTGATCTAAAAATTGGTATCAGAGCGAGGTCATGGGTTTGAATTCCCCCAACTCTCAATAGGGGAGATTATTGGATTTATTTATCCATCCTCACCGATGTGGTTATATAGGCTTAATATCCTAACCCATGGAACCTATGATGGTCTAGGTGGGATAGGTAAAACCCCTTGAGGGTTCTAAACTATAAATAAACATAATTGTGTCCTCCTTAATAGAATTTTTTTACCATACTGGTAGGCGCTTGACCCAAAAGATAAGGGTGTCAAACATGAGTGTCTTCAATGATACTCCGCTTCAACATTATTGGGAGACTTGGGGTGTCTTTCCTCCACATATTGTTCCCTGTGAAGGGTGTGATCTTCATAGTTCCGCTAGAGTAAGCTATAAAGTTATTGAAGACTAGAGTATCTTTGTTATCTTGTACATTCGGTTCCAATCGACAGAGATTTGGTAATTCGGTTGCCTTTGACCAAAAATCATCGCTAGGAGCCTCTTGAATGCGAGGTATATCATAAGAGCTTTTTTCGAAGACGAGAATTATTGTGACCACTGGTAGATATGTGTTCATGATCCATGGTAATTCCTCATTCCTCGGCCTCCTTTGGGCATGTAGATATTCATTTCCCAACTCAGTGTCAAATAGTCAGATGGAAAAGGTATTTAACAATGAATCAACGTTGAAAGTAACCAAGTTATGGATGTAAGTGATGAGAATAAGGTATGGTAGGCTAAAATCAGAACATCTAACATTGTGTCATGGAAGCGTATAACATGACTCGCAGTGGTAATTGCTTCAACTTCCGATAATTATGTGTTTGGAGTTCAGTTTACTCTGTCGTGATCTAGTAACTATGGTGGGACACAATCTTTATTATGATCTAGTAGTTCCCGCACGACACAATCTTTATTGTGATCTAGTAGTTCCCGCAAGATTGTAAGGTTGGTCGGGGATCTTATGTATGATATTGGAGGTAATTACCTCAATTATTAAGTGATTCTAAAGTGGACCTAAGTTTGGATCTAGACTCATCCACTAGTGTAATTTATGATGAAATTAAAAGTTAATTCATATAAACGACACATCTATTTCGTTTTTGAACCATAATTAGGTGTGAACTGCTGATGTGAAACCCTGAACTGGTAGTGTTGATCTCCAATTCAGTTGCGCGGGTTTGACCTACAACCCAATTCATTTCAAGATTCAATAATAATGTAGTGAAAATGGAGATCAAAAAAGTGTATCTTGCTTTCGTGTGATGTGAATTTTATACCTTTGAGTAGATGGAATGGATTTACGTTGATTTGGGCCTTAGCCATTTGGGAATTTGGCTAGTCCAAAACATATACCTTGGAAAAATAAAATTGGTTGACTTTCCCCTTGGTTGGGATTTCAAATCAAGGTAAAATGTAATTTATTTAAAAATTAACAAATGGTGTCATTATATTAATTAAAACACAAAATTGTTATAGATGGGAGTGGAACACGTGACCTGTTACGCTTTTCCCTCACTTAGAAGACATAACCGATGTGAAAGTGTTGTGTATTTTTAATTTAAAAATAAAATAGGAAGGCATGGGAGTCGAATCCATAATTGGTTCTTCTTTTCTCCTCATTTTGGCCTTCCAACCTAGGTGAAATATAATTTATTTTTATTTTCAAATTAAAAAAAAAGGAAGGCGCCTAATTTCAAAGGTTTCACTTTTGGTCTATATAAAAATGATGTAAAATTTTGGTAGGATATATATTTTTTACTGTAATAGAGATCTCCCATCTCTAGTACGTTGATGATACGAAGTTAGTGGGGGTTCCATATGTTGAAAACATTTTAACCATTAAGGCAATTTTTAGGAGTTTTAGCTTTCCTCGAGGCGCAAAGTGAATTTCTATAATAGTTGTTTGTTTGGGGTTATTGTTAGTATGGTTTTTTCTATATCCGACTTAGGCTTTTTTGCATTACAAGGTGCATTCCCTTTCTTTTAAGTATTTAGGGCTCTTGGTGATTGCAAATCGGTAAAGGGTAAGGACTTAGCATCCCATGGTAAAGCTTCTTTCTAAGATATTGACTTCTTAGATTAATAGATTTGTGAGTTTGTCCGGAAGGGTGGTTCTGTTGAATTATATGTTGAACTCTATCTCTGTGTTCTTCTCATCTTTCATGAAAATGCCAATTTCAGTTTGGAAGAAGTTGGTTGGTATGCAATGATGTTTTCTCTAGGGTAGTTTCAAAGGAGGAAGTTTGTGTGGGTTAAGTGGGAAGATGTTTGTAAATCTAAAAGGTTAGG